GCTGAACATTTCCGCAGTTATGTCCCAAACCCCACACTAATTAGCTTCTACACCTACAGTCACTCCTCTCCCTGCCTCCATTCTGTTTCTAACTTAATCGCTCTCCTTCATCTCATTTCTTTTCCTGTAATCTCAAGCCAGTTTGGTGTGTACCTTCGTTTTGTATTTCCATTTCAGAAGTTCACATTATTCTGAACTCAGCATCCCTCTTTTACCAGCCCTGCACTCATAGAGGAGGTGAGAAGGACCCAGGCACATCAGTGACTCTCTGTGTTTGGGAGCAACAGGACTGGGACCCCTCCGTGAGAGAAGGTGAGCCTGGAGCCAGGGATGACTGCCACACAGGAGGACACCATCCCACGGCATCCAAGCACAGCAGGCAGACCAGGGCTGGGGATGGGAATGGTTTTGCCATCAAGCAAAAGCAAAGGGACAAACCGAGCCCCAAGTCAAGGACGTGGTCAGGCCCAGACCCTCCTACAACACAGCTCAGGCCAGGAGCGGGAGCCCCAGCCCAGAGAGAGCAAGTAAGGCTTGTGAATGCACCCAGGGCCCTGGCACTCTGCTTGTAAATCTGCTCTGCTGTATTCCCCTGTGTTGTGACTGCACCTGCTTGAGAGATGGAACCGGGCACCACTCCAGGAGTTATGACCAGCAGTAAATATGGTGTCTCCAAATAACTTTCTTAAGATATTGTTGAATGAAAGCAGATTATAAGCAAACAGTTTTCAGAATTGGCTTTATCCTGCCCTAGTGCAGCCACTGATCCAGTAAGTGCCTTCATCCCTAGGTCCCCTAACCTCTGGCAGGGAGAGAGGATGCCTTCAGTTTTCTTCCCTTTCACACTCACACTCCTAGCTTTAGCCGCATTTAAGGATAATCCATTTATGCTCCTTGTTGTCTTGGCTAATACGTTTGGACCCAATGCCCAGAGTCAGCTTCGTCTAGATTTAATATCCTTTTTGACAACCTCAGAAATATTTGATGAGGCATATTTTCTCCCAGTGTTTGTTTCCTCCCTTTATTTGTTTATTTAAATCTGCAATTACACTGGAACAACATACTAACACAGTACACACCTTTCATAGTGATCAAACACAGAGAATCTATTTAAAGGTTTGCAGAGCAGCCCCAAATCCATCACAGCTCTCACCTCCATCACATAACATGCTGCCAACATTTTCTTAAAAAAAGTGTGAGACAGGGAAGAAAAATTGTGATTCTTCTTTCCCTCTTAATGAAAATGAGCCTTTGCGTTCAACCTGCTCCCCTTAGTGCTTCCCAAATGCTTTTGAACAAGCAATCCTCAGCAAAGAGAGAAACCATCCAAGCGCCCAAGAGAAAAAACACACACAGAAATCACAAAGTAGCCAACACAAATATTTGCCTAACAACATATTTCAATAATCCCAAAACGTTATCTCTTCCGCTTTTAGCTGCCTGGCCTGCAGCTGCCTTCTGGGGCTGCCCACCGACTTTTCTCCCAAGCGTTGTGAGAGCGGGCGGGAAACGCCCTTGGGGCCGGCGGTGACTGGCAGGACTGTGTCCGCAGCCTGACACAGCGCAGCGGAGGTATTGGCCGCCGCACAGCAACAGTGCTACGGCGGTGTGCGGCACAGCGGTTTTAAGGCTCGCAGCGTGGCAGCCCGCGGCCGCATGGGGGTTTGCGGGCGCG